GTCGCACTTCTAATAAATGATAATTCAAAAACCAGCTATTCTACACATACGTAAGAAAATCTTTAGAGAATAACAAATTAAACAAATTGAATATGGAGCTCAACCATGAAGAAAAGTAGAGTGATGCAACCTGGGGCTGATTTTAATATAGTCCAGCCCTCATCAGACAGTGGGTTGAATGTCCTCCCGACCGCAAGCGCAATGAATGTCGATCTCTTAGAACATTCAAACTGTGAGATAATCTGAAGAGCAGCTACAGCTCAGGCTCGATTAAGTAATCTGAATTTGCAGAACAAAAGCTGACTGCAACTCATAACCTCAATCTACCTATTTTCATATGTACATTTGCTGGAAATAGCAGCACCTCACTGTATCCCATTTGCTGATCAATCATACACTCAATTAACATCCCGTCCTAGCAATGAGACTAACGTGAATAGCGCCATCTTTTGCCTTTTGTCTATGTAGCACCGTTCGAAGAGCCTGATCCGTTCGAAGGATGGAGCATTGGCAAAGATAAACGAGTAAAACACGCCACGTTCATCCAAGCAAGTCTGTGTTGTTTTTCTATACCAAAACGGCCCAAAGGGTATGGAAGGCCACCAGGCCGAACATGAGAAAACAGACCCTATTGGTTAGCCGAGGTCGAATAGATAAGCCTCAACGACGGCGAGATGGCCGATGTGCAGACATAAATATCAATCAACTCCAAAAAAACATAAGAAAATATGGAGAAAAATTGGATATCGAAGAATACTTTAGTGATATATTTTGACATGACTCTTCATTTCGAAAGGAAAGTTGGTAGGTAGAAATTCGTGATGTGGTCTCAATGTAAACCGAAGGGATATTGCTGTGTAGGCAAGGCTGTTGAATTGTGCGAAGAAGTCCTCTGATCACCGTCCTGCGACACCGATGAAACTGTGACAGATCTTTCGTCTATAATTTGACAGAAATCATCAGAGTAAGCATCCATACTATAAGAAATAGAGCAAAAATATACTAAACCAATAGAAAAGGTGGCCGGTTGCAAGTCTGGTCGATTTTTTTAACACCTAACTTTGCGATCTTAATGAGGCATCTCATGATTCGGTTGGCTACTCCAACCTTACTAGCCCTACATGCTTGCAAATGGATGAAGCT